TCTTCTGTTCAGCTCTTTAGTGTCTTGGATTCTTCCTTGTGCTTTGTCTTCTCTACGTTCCAGTGCAATCTTCAGAGTTTCTTCTGACATCCATTTTGGTCTTTTCTTCCTCTTCTGTCTTTGTAATGACCTGCACTCTTCCTGGATGATACATTTAACATCCTCCCACAACTCATCTAGTATCCTTTTTTTTTTAAGTGTAACTAGGTCAAGTTAGAAAAAACAACGTATCGATTTTGGGTGGAAGTGAGACTCTAAGATCACGGAAATTGGCCATGATTTCTCTGCAATATTTATTCTGTGGACAAAGGAAATCTCAAATGTTTTCCTGAGAGTGCTCCATCTCTAGAATCCTCTTATTGATATTGACGTGATCGGCCTTTGTTGATCTGGCAAAGCTATATATTTTTAAATGGTTTTTTTATTTTCTTTTATTATTTTTGTGTGCGTGTACCGTCAAATCAGATCTGACTGGTACAGGAGGATATTGCCCCTCCTTCCCCGGCAGAGCATCTGGTGGATTCGAACCTTGCACCTCTGGAATTGTAGTTGCAGCTTCTTGCCACTAGGCCACCAGAGCTCCCCTTAAATGGTTTTATATGATAAAGCTATTGGTATTAGGAAGCAAACATACACAACTTATTAAGGTTCAATCTTGAGAAAATTATTCTGCCTTTTCTTTTAAAGTGTTATTTTACTTGGTAAATGTTCACCAAACCACAATAGGGGTTTTTTTTAAGGTTTAATATTTTGATAAATATTCTCTCTCTTGTGGTAGGTAAAACAAACAGGATCTGTATAAGAAAAATTATGATGGTCTAAGACATTAGTTTTCAAAGTTTGTTCTATGTCAAAACATTGGGTGATGCAAATGGTTTGCATTTGGCTAGTGATAGGAAAGGTGACAATTTAAGACTACCCAGTGACACCCTAGAGGAAACAGGTCTGGTGATCTGTTTCCAAAAGGACTCTACACACAAGATGTCTCCACAATAGCACCTCAACAACCCACACAAATGCAATTATGTTCTGTGGAACTCTAGACCAAGATTGTCTGGAAGAATCTGATTTTATCTTTAATTGTTTGGGAAACAATCGCTCTAATAGACATTGAGGGAGCTGGTGCTGTTTTGCAGTCCATAGAGGATTGTGCTGCTAAACCAATGGCCGTGCTTCTCTGACAGTTAGAATCCACCAGTGGTTCCTCAGGAGAAAGACAGGCAATCTCCTCCCATGCAATTTACAGCCTCCAAAACCTCACTTATCTGGTCAGCTATGAGAGATGGTTCGGACTTAATGGCAATGAGCTTGAGTTCTAATAGAAATTGTCATTGTTGTTATTTGCCTTTAAATCAACTCAGAGCAACCCTATGAACAACAGTTCTGAATCTTGCCCTACCCTGAGCCAGCTTCACCATCAGTGACACACTGGACTCATTGATGCAGTCTCTGGGTCAGTCCATCTTATCCATGGTCTTCCTCTCTTGCACTGATCTTTTACCCTTCCAAGCATGATGTTCTTCTCCAAGGACTGGACCCTCCTGACAACTTGCCATATATATGAGAAGGAGTTTTAAAATCCTTGCTTCCAACTTGGTTTCACACTCTCCAAAATAGACCTGTTTGTTCTCTTGGCTCTCCATGGTTTATGTTCATTGCTCTTTTCCATCACTCTTAGTCATTGTCCAGCTCTCAGATGCAGCTTGTATTTTGATTTCCTAATTGCTGAGGCCAAAGGTGTTGATTGTGGAAGTGAGCAAGGTGAAATCGTTAACAACTTCATTCTTTTCTCCATCTATCATTATGCTGCCTATTGGTCTGGTAGTGAAAATTTTTGTTTTCTTGGTATTTATTAATCCTTGATGAAAGCTGCAGTCCTTGATCTTCTGCAGCAAACAAATGCTTCAAGTTCTCAGTTTTAGCGAGCAAGATTGTGTCATCTGAATAATGCAAGTTGATGTCCATGGTTCATTGCTCTTTTCCATTGTCAGGTCAAGCATGACTCATAGTGATCCTATGAATAAAAGGTCTGAACCTTGTTCTATCCTGTGCCATCCTTATATTTTTTGTCACACAAGAGCCTATTGCAGCAGTCACTGTGTCGGTCCCCTGGTTGAAGGTCTTCCCCTCCTTTCCTGACCCTCCACCCTTTCTAGTATCATGTCATTCTGCAAGGAATAGGCTCTCCTAACAACATGCCCAAAGTATGTGAGGAGAAACCTCATCATTCTTGCCTCCAAAGAGCTCTCCATCTGCACCCTCTCCGAGACATATCTTTTCGTTCTCTTGGCCATCCATGAGATATTCTGTGCTCTTCTCCAGCATCACAGCTCAGAGGCATCAATTCTTTTTCTGTCTTATGATGATGATGAGACTTCCACAAATCTTCATGTCACATTCTTCATGAAGTCCAACCTTCCAAATTATCTGTTCAGCGTAGAGATTGAAAAGGTCTGGAGAAAAGATATATCTCTTACATAATCCTTTATTGATTTTGAATCATGTAGTATTCCCTTGCTCAGTTCACATAGCGTCTGCTCGGTCTAGATGTAGGTTTCAAGTTAGCACAATCAAGTATTTTGGGATTCCCATTTTTCTCAATGTTTGCCATAGGTTGTTATGATCCACACAGTAAAATGTCTTTCCATAGTCGATAAAACACAAATAGACATCCTTTTGATACTTTCTACTTTCAACCAAGGTCCATCTGACATCAGCAACAATATTTATAGTCCCACAAACCTAGCTTGTATTTCTGGCATCTCTCTGTCAACTGTACTAGTTCATTTTGGATAATCATCAACAAGATTTTATTTGCAAGTGATACTAATATTGTTAGATGATTCCACATTCTGTTGGATCATCTTTTTTGGGAATAGTAATAAAATATTAATCTCTTCTAGCCAGTTGGCTAGATAACTATCCTCTAGATTTCTTGGCAAAGTCTGGTGAGCACATCCAAGGCTGCATTTGTATGTTGTAACATGTCAATTGGTAGTTCATCAGTTCCTGGGTCTTATTTTTTCCCCAATTCCTTCAGAACAGCTTTTAC